TAATTATTATAAAGTAACAAAACAATGAAGATATACCATTTTTATTTATTTATATTTCCTAATTACGAATAGTCGTACTTAGAATATGGCGCTATTGAAAAATTGTAGTTGAAAAAGGGCTCCGGAACTAGGAAAAGTTTGCGAACCACTTCATTAAAGGGTGCATGAGATGTCTTCCTTCTATTTCGATTACGGTGCTCGGCTGAACATGTTGCACTTGTGCCTGATTTACTGGAAGTCTTGAAGACTGAAATACGAACACCAAGATGGTGTGGCCTTCTGTCTCTTTTAGCTTTGTGTTGTTGTTGTTGTTGTTGTTGGCTCGAACTTGTTTTCCCAACTTGGTCGAAGCGTCAGGGAGACCTTGTGCAACGTAGCTGGTCCCGAGTCGTCTGGCAGAGTATTCGTGCTTTCCAGCATTGGACCTACCCAATCACGAATCCCGAATCCCGAATCACGAATTACGAATACTCGGGACAAGGTTCGATGCAACATTTATGCACTTTCCTGCAAACCGGACCGTTTCCATTCGGTGCCGACGAGGGGAGGAACTTCTGCAGATGCGCCGGCCAGGCGGTGCAAGCAGACATGCTGACGGTCGAATGATGGGGTCCGGTTTTGTGTGCATTTTGCCAAGTTGCAACCTGTGCCAGGCTCACCGCAACTCTGATCCCACTGCAAAACAGACACAAACACAAACACAAACACAAACACAAACACAAACACAAACACAAACACAAACACAAACACAAACACAAAGACAAACACAAACATAAAAACACAAACACAAACACAAACACAAACATAAACATAAACACAACCACAAACACAAACACAAACACAAACATAAACACAAACACAAACACAAACAGAAACAGAAACAGAAACACAAACACAAACACACCCACGGACACAGAAACAAATGCGGATACACAGCCACAACACAGAGAGAGATAGGGAGAGAGACAGAGATAGAGACGAGATAGTGCCGGTGGGGGTTGGAGTGATGAAATGAAAAGAGGCTGAGATCAACCTGTTGTAGATTTGGTGGGATCAAACGAAAGGCCGGTTGGCATGCCTGAGAGTGTGTAGCGTCTAAACGACGGTCTCTTTATGGCCCGACACCGAAGTGAGCTGGCATCGAGACGAAGTTAGAATTGGCACGGCTCCGAGGTGTTGGTCGTTGAGACCAGCATTTCCCATGATGCATTGACGTGGAAAGTACATTTTTAGGCTTCTTCTCCTTCCAGACGGAGGCATGCAGGCAGACGGATCAGGTGAGACACTGACAGACATGTGCACAAGCTGCTATGCTTCTGCTTGTGTGTATCAACGTCATACACACACACATGCACACGCACATACATGCATACATACATACAGACAGACATACAGACATACAGACAGACTAAAGAGACAAAAAACAGACAAATAGCAAAATGACTGCCTAGCTGATTGATTAACTGACCAACAGGGCAACTAACTGGACAAAAAACTTGCTCACTTATTGATAAAACAAACGAACTGATTTGATAACTAATTGATTAATTGACTGACTGAATAAGTGAATAAGTAACTAACTGACTAACTGACTAACTAATTAACTGACTAACTAATTAACTGACTAACTGAGTTACTAACAAATAAACTAACTGATGAGGTGACTAACTGACTGAATAATTGACTGACTGACTAAATGACCAACTGAATAACTGACTTACTAACAAATTGACTAACTGAGGAACTGACTAACTA